CATGAAATGCAAAATCAATTGAAATGCACTATCAAAAACTTTGCAAGTATATACACAATTTGAGCATCTATTTTTAAGAATCACTCTCCTGCTGTGCCCTCAGAACTACTTTTGCCACATCCTGCACACATTTACATGTTGACCATTTGGTTACATGGCATCTTCTGAGTTTCATAACCACAAATTACAAAATAAAATAACTGAATACCAACTGAATGATAACTGTAAAGCAATCACATTTTCATTGTTCTAGACATTCCACAATAGTAAAAAGTATTCACATTATTCCCAATGTATTCCACCAACCCACCCTTTCTCACTACACCTGTGTATTCCTCCTGGGAATGTCAGCCTTGGCAGGAACTCTCAGGATTTGCTCCAGGTATCACATCCCTTCAGAAAACACAACTGCATCAGCAGCTCCATGTGAAGAGCACAGTCCTGCACAGCTTCAGAATACAAATTAATACTGAACAGCTACTGCAAATTCCTGTGCCAGTCATGGCACAACCAAACCCTACACAAATATAGTCATTTTGGAAATATTTCACTGGTTCACTCATTTTAAAATGAAACAAAGTGAAAAGGTATCCTTGTGGCATTTCCAAATATTCTCTATTTTACAGTTTGCCTTCATAAAACTGTGATGGAAAAAGTTATGTTTGCCTTATTTCACTTAACTTTGAATGAACTGAGAAAACCCTCCTTAGTGCCAAGAATTTAATTTAAATGACTGACTTTGTGCAGTAACTGAGTTACAAAACTCTGGAGGGAAATTCTGGTCTCATTGAAGCCTTACAATCATAGATATTTACTATGGAAGAGACTTGAAATGGATCAAGTTCAACTGTAAATATAACACTGCCAAAATCAAAACTTTTCCAAAACAATTTAATTGCTATCAGTCCAAGCTGTTCTTCTGCTTTAGAATTTCCTAAGATACTTGAGTAGCCATGGAAAAAGTTTTTGGTTTTTGCTTGTTTTAAGATTAAGATTCTAAAATGTAAAAAACACTCGGAAAATTCTTTTTTGAAAATGCAATTGGCTATATATAATTTAAACTAAAGATGATAGATTAGATGTCATTTTATGATAACTGGTGTGCCTTCCCTAAAACTGACCAAGCAGTTGCAGAAATCTTGCTGCCCTTTGCCTCTCATGCTGAAAAACTAATGGTCAAACCTAATGAGGGAACAAAGACTTCATATAACCACAATTTTAAGACAGTATGTTAGCAAAAGCAAAGGTCATTTTTTTATGTAACAAACACAGGAGCCAGAACTGCTTCTGTGCAGTGGAAGTTTAAACTAAAATTCAATTAATCACATATAGTCTCTATTTAAGCAGTGAAGATCAGGAGAATTTTTCTTCACAGGAAAAGAGAAATTAATCTTCATATTTTCCAAAACAAACCTGTACCATAACAGAGCTCATTAAGAACAGTCAGTCTACCTGTCCTTCTGCCTGTAAATGAATGACAGATGACCCAGTGTGTGGCATATGGAACAAACCCAGCAGTTCTGTTTGCAATTCCTCCTGGAAGTGCACAAGGGCCACATTAACCCCTTCACAGCCACAGTGCCATGTGCAGTCAGAAAAGGTCTGCAGTTCCCAGAGCAAAAGCATCCCAGAGCAAAAACTGCATCACCCACTGCTGGGGCAAGTTAAATATTGCTAACTATTAGTGATTACTCTCAAATTATGCCCTGGTGGTTTTGCTCAGGTTGCAGCATCTCTTTAGGAGCAGGGAGGTGTTTTTGTCAGCAGCTGTCCTGCACAGCCTCTCTGGCACACAGGCAGGGGAGCACGAGTGGCACCAGCCAGGTCCCCTGCCCATGGGCAGTGCCCCCTGCAGCATCAGCCACTGATGCAGCTGGGACACAGCTGGCCACACCAAATGGCTCTGGGAACACAAAGCTGGCAAATCCCTTGTTCTGAGCTCTACTGAAAGCTCCACACACTCCAGGATCCTCAGCCACAGAACACATCCCTCTTTACTGAGACTGAAGGCTTTTCCTGGATGATTCACTGTGAAATCAATTCAGAGCACTCTGCTTGGACAACTCTAGTTTGCCTTTCCCATTGCTGGTCTTAATGGCATTCTCTTAATTCCAAATTGTGTGTGTTGGAGTGTGCTTATTTACTTTTGCTTTTCAAGTAGAGATCCTCTAACAGAAACACAGACATTAGCTTGATTTGGTGAGGGAAAAATGACATTTGATTTGCCAATACCAAACCACATCTCTTATCTGCAGAAATGCTAAAAACTCCCACAGGTTGTTGTCAGTTGAAATCAGTGGAATCAGCCTTTCAAATAAACATTTAAGGAATCAGCAAAGGGAGGAAGAGCCAGACCTTTGTCTTTCTCTTCAGTACCAACATGACATATAAAATTCCATTTTAGTGAAAATAAATGTCTTCAGTTTTGTTTGGATTTAGCTACAGATTTATGTCAAAAGCTGATGAGACTGCCACTAAATGATATGGTATTTGAAATGAAGTTTTTAGTGCAGTAAAAACCCAATGGTTGTCCTCACCTACAATTTTATTGAGGTAACACCACCTTCCCATCTCACTTCAATGTAATTTCTCCTACCATCTAAATACTGTCTGGCTTATCAGAAATTTTTTATTAAATGAATCCACATAACATTCTACACCTTCATTTGACTTACCAGGGATCACTATTTTAGTCAATAATCTGACACTAAAGTTTGCTAGTGTCAAACAAGTTTAAGCCATGTTTGCTGTGGTCTCCAGCTCAGGTGTTCCACAAATCAAAAAGGTGAGAATCTACTGAAGTCAAGGGTAAAACCTGCCTTGACTTCAGTAAAGCCTAGGATTAAAAAAAAAAAAAAATAAAAAATTAATGTCAGTTATTTATTGTTTCAAATCCATTCCTCCCTATTTTATGCTCACAGTTCTTGGTTATATTTTGGAATCTAACTCCAGATCAGGGGTCTGGATGGTTTCTGCATCCCCAGCAGTGCCCCAGTGAGCACAGCGGATTAGCAGTGCTGGAAAACAGATTAAAAGCATTTCTGAGACTCTCTGGGAAGACACCACACTCCACAACAATTTTTTCACTGTCACTGCTGTAAGACCTCACCATATGTGGGACATTATTGCTCAAGTGAAAGATCAGCCACATGTGACATACTGCATGCAGTGACATAAAACACAGAACATACACAAGGCCAGAAGCCCTGTCACTATGCTGATCCACTCTGTAATTTACAGTTCATGCCACATTATTGCCAAGTTTATTAGGAAAACTTAATGCACCTTCCTAAAGCTTTTAATGTTGACTTTTCTTCATGTTCTAAGTGAAAAAAGGAAGAGTGCAACAAGAACTGAGCAGGCTCTGTTTTTACCTACCCCTGTCAGCTGTATAAAGTACTGAGTAATGGCATCATATCCTAAACAAAACTGAAAATGGGTATCTCAAACACAGGAAATGTTTGGAGCATGGATTCTGGAATCACTGGTACAAATTCTTAAAAATATTCAAGAGGAAGAAGGGAAGTGGCCCAGAGTAACCAACAGCCTGAATGCACTAGATCTGAGAATGAACAAAAGTAAGAAAGATGATGGGAATCAAAAGGAAGGGGAAAAAGGAGTAGAGCATATTGAAATTCTTGTACAGATAAGACACAACTATCTCCACAGGCTTCCTGGAAATGAAAACTTCAAATTCCAATCTTTTTAGCATCACTTTTGAAATTGCTGTTAAAGAAATCACAGTGGTACAAGCCAATGTTAGCAAGGCTGTAGATTATTATTAGTAGTAGTAAAAGCAGCTAGAGATGAGAAAAAGATTCATCCAAGCACAGTGGATCTTTTCTCAGACTGCTCCTAAGGGTACTTGAAGGCTTTAATCCTTGCCGTGCTAAAAGAGAAGCCTTGGAAGAATCATGATTGTCCTTCCCCATAAGGAAGAAGGCAGCCACAATAATTTCCAAGGAATGGCAAAGCAAGACTGTTGGTAGCAAGTCTGTGGGGAAGAACTGCAGAGTACTAAAACAAAAATTGTTTTAGTAGATTTCAGTTTAAAATGAGTACATCAGTTTCATATCCAGTTTTCAACTTACTAAGGAGTTTGGAAACCCCAAGAAGTAAGCAGCTGCCATGCTACATCAAGGGAATTCTTAATGTTTACACTGTGATACAATTTAATAAAATTAGTTCAAGAAGGAAAAATGTTACCTTAAGATCAGAAAATGTTTTTAAATATGACAATGAAATAGCAGTGGAGATCACTTTTCAGATAACAAAGTGACAATTTTTAGTTAGCACTTCCATGGCCAACACTGAACTAGAACTTTGCTCTGGTAGCAGCAACAACAGTGAAATGAAAGACAAGGATTAATTCTTTTTGAGTGGCTGGTTTTTTAAATGTAGCAGGCAAGCATTTTGCTTAGTGAATTATAACTTTTCCTTTAGTTTTTGCATGACTTTTCAGATAGTGACATTAATGAAAATAGAGACTGAAGTTGTTAAAACAACCATTAGAAGAGATGCAAGAACCAATCAGAGATAGATTTGAAATACAATATTTCAAATGTCAAAGCAATCCAGTTTCTTTCAACACATTTATCTAACCTAAGATTTATATCTAGGACTTTGCAAATTAATTTATACACCAGCCTCTCCATAAGCTGTGTTTTAAGACAACACTATATAGTGGATTTTAGCTATTACATGTACACAAACTTGTTTCAATAGATTTAAAAATAAGTGGTATTTTAAACTTATGATCAGAAAAAGGTTATTTTTCCTGTCAGCTATTGCCTATAAGACTAGAGTACAATAGTCAATACTCCTCTCTCATTTTTTAATGAATTATCTTACACAGGGTCTTGGTCAATTGGAAAGAACAGAATCAAATCTTGTCACATGCCTGGCAGACATATCCCTCAACTGAAAATAATTTAGCCTGAAATATGAAATCTGTGGCAGTCAAAACACTTTTTTAATTGAGCTACCTATTAATGAAGAACAAACTAATACAAACAGATCTACTACAAAAATGATGAAATTATTTGTAACTTGTTTGGAGAACTCAACAGTGTATGGTTCAACACACCAAGAATTTGTTCAGAAGCAAACAGATACATGAACTCAGAAGTCTCAAAAGAACACCACGGTGGAAATGTTTCATTTTCACATTTATCCATGGATCCAATGTCTCAGCACAGTGACATTTGTACAAACTGACCTGTGTGCTAATACCACACTCATGGAAATTACACAATAAACCCTGCTAAAAAGATAAACACTGATACTTCCCAGCTAAATTATGGATATACCTGTTGTAAAAATGTCATGTGAGATCAGGAGCAATATTACACAAAATCCTGAACATCACAGCGTAAACCTGAGATTTTGGCAGTTTTATCAAAATGTCCTAAATTACTCTGTATGAATCACTAGTCCTCATGTCTTATTCATCACATGTATTTGTTTCTCCCAAAGAAAGAACAACTTTGTTTTTGTCCAACAATACAATAAAACAAAAGTAATTAGGTATTATCAAATTAAATAGCATAAATAAAAAGTATTTACAGTATTTTCTAATTATTAGACAACAATTAAATTGTGCAACAAACTTAAAACACCCAACATCAAAAATGTGAAGTATTACTTAAATCTTCACATACTGATTTTACAAAAAAACTATTAAAATATTAAAAAATTTCCATTTTATCTATTTTAAACAAAGAAACTTCAAAAATGTTTAAGACTATTAAGAGTTATCAATTACACAGGCACTTCACAGGTAAACAATCTACAGTACAACTGAAAAAAAATATTTGGCACCAACCTAGAAGACTGGAAAAACTCAATAAACTGTGTCCTTTTCTCACTGTATCCTGTTCTGTGTAATCACCAGACACTCAGACTCAATACTGGCAATGTTAGAAGTGCGAAGTTACAATCAGGAGTGCAAAAAACAAATATTAGAACGCAAATATTAAGCTTTCAGAGAGTGAAAGGGGATTACAAGTCATCAGTTGCTCATATTTTACCATCATACCATCGCTACATTTTTGACTTATCTTAAAATCAAATGATTGACTCAAAAAAATAAAGTGACAGGGGGTGTGCTTTGTACTTTCAAAAGTAATTCAAACAACATTTTCAATGTAAAAAAAGAAATCCAGCATTTAACTCTAACACTGAGATGTTAAATGGCAGCTTTTAACTTAACTAGAAAGAGAACCTGATGCTACCACATTCTCTTAGTACATCCAATTACAAAAGAAAAAAAAAGAACAGTTATGTTCCTTTAACTGTGAACTGACTCCAAGGTTTTCACACACAGCTCCAAAGTAAGGCTCTCTACAGCATCTGGACAGGTTTTAGTTTTTGATGGCTTGGGTGTTCCTGGGTAGGAGGCTGCAGTGCCTCAGAGCAATCCATAACAGAGCTTTAAATGGAAGCTGTCTAACTGCCACCAAGTTGTGTCACATGGCAGAAAGCTGAGATACTTTCAATGCAGGCAACTCAAGCAGAGCTTGGACTGTGAGGCCAACCTTCACCAGACCCCTTTCCTCCAGAATGTGATGAGGCAAGCAAAGTCTCTCCTGCAAAAGAACACAGGACATTTAACCAGTTCTGTCCTTTGTCCCCAGGGCAGGTAACAAACACATCCTCTGAAGCCACACACATGTCAGGAAGAAACTTGCAGAGAAAACACCTTTGGCCTTAAATGTCCCTGTGGCTCTGTCCAGCAACAGAATGGGCAGAAACTTTTCATAGTTAGGATCTGTTTGAAGGGTTAAACTATGACAATGTCAGAAGATACATAAAAGACTGCTAAATTCTTAAAGTAAAGGACTTTCTTTTCATAAGCAGAGAAAAACAAGCTGGTGGGTGCTGTTGGCTCAGTGGCCTTCTCCCTTCCCCTGTTTTGCACACTTATTACCAATCTTTCTCTTGGGATAACTTTGAAATGCTGATAGACTCAATAATGAACCATTCTCCAAGAAAATCATCATTCAGTCCCAAAATTCAGCACAAGCTGGACAATGTTCCCAACTGCCAGCTGGTGTTACAAGCAATTCAATGGTAAATCTCAGCACCTCTAGCTTCTGAATGGCCTGTGGCTCCATATGAGACAGAAGCTATGGCAGAGCAGTAAAACAGCTTTTAAATGCATCAACTAATTTTCTTCTTGCACTAAAGAATATCAAGGGAACTTTTTGTCTCATAATATGCAGGAAATTATTTCTTTTTTAGGTTTTTTCTCTTCATAAAAGGAAGTAAGAGGATACACTTGGGCAACAGAAGCACAAGTAATGGCCTGCAACTACAGCCATGGTAAAAAAGAGAGCCAATCATTCAGGCTACAGACTTCTTTAAGTGTAGGATATTTCCTAGGCAGACTGAATTCCTGCCAAAATGGTTGCTAAACTCAAGACTTTCCAATAACAAAACAAGTCTCAAGTCCATTTCTTTGTTTAGATGACAATATATTTTATAAGGAGGTTAGTGTTATTTTTACTATTAAGAACCGACTAGAAACCCATAAAGTAGCTTCCTCAACTTCACCCCATAACCCTGGAATGGAATTTCTGTTCAGATCTTCAAGTTCTCTGGTCAATGTCACAATCACTACTGCTCCCTAATCAAAGCTCCCCTAACCCCCCAAACTCAGTATTTGTTGACATTTTCTGTGGATATTAATAAATCAAGAAAGCAATTAGAGTACCTGTGGAACGCCCAATTTTTTACAAGCATCAAGAAAGTTTTCAACATTTCTTCGACACTTTGCCATGCTGAGTTTAGGCTGTGGAGACAGGATATTAAATCTTCATCAGACATTCATGAAGGAGTGCATATTTCTGATGTAAATTCACTTACAGTTACTAAAACACAAGACACATTTTATGAAGACTCAGTATGAGGAAAACAGCTCTTAAACTAAACTTCTGAGCCTCGCTTAATGCTTCTTCCAAGAAAAACCAAAGTGAGTAATGTAGTAAATCAATGTGGTAAACATGAGTCACAATGTTTAATATTGAAATTCAAAAGCTTCTTTTCATGTAAGATGCACCAAGAATGAGATAAATGATTGATGCCTTACCACTGCTGGCGATGGGACGTGAATGCTGGCAACAGAACGTGGCCTTATGTGATTGGCTAAATGGCAAAGAACCACCCCATCCATCAAGGCTGCTCCAATGTCATCTGGCAGGATCACCTTCAACCTGGACTCAAGATTCTAGGAAAAAGGCCATAAGGAAGTTACTCTCAACATCAGACAGCTTTTCAGTTTAAAAGCAGGGTATTTTAAAGCATGTAGATGTTTAAAAGGAACATTTTAATACTAAAGTGAAATAAACAGAATAAATTTATGCTTTACTCAGTATAAACATCCTTTTCTCCTTACAGGCTCTGTTCCTTTTGTTTGTATTGTTGGGTTTTTCTTGTGTTTTATGTTATTTTGTGGGGTTTTTTTAAATGACACAACAACATACACTGTGAAAGACATTCTGCCAACAATGACCAGAATACACAGCTCTCAAGCCCATACAACATTCCACTGTTCATAACAGGAAAGCACAGAACTTAAGGACAGAAATGTTATGCTGAATATGTGATCAGTGCTTAGTGGGCAGAATCTGTGAGTTGAAACCAAACAGGATTTTATGAGAAGGGAAAAAAAGATTTTATGAGAATAAAAAAAGAAGGGAACACAACTGTGGGAAAAGTTGTGTTGCAAAACAGAGATGGCAAAAAATGGTTTTTCCCAGCCCAACAACAAGCCCAACTTCACTGCTCAGGAAGTGAACCAGAAAACAAACATCCTTCAGAGAAGTCACACCACAATTCAGCACTGCCTTGAAAAGCAAAGCAGCTATGATTTAGTCAACTCTAACTGCTAAATGCCTTGAAAACAAAAAATAATTTACCAGAAATCCGAAATGTAGATCCCATTCAGGACTATGAAATTTGCAGCAACTTTTTACACTCAAAAAGCATTTGGTCATTTAGAAAACAGTAGTAATTTTTCTTCAGATCTCAGGTCAAACAATAGCAAACACAAGCAGATTTATTGTGTCCCTAGAAAATTTAAAACCTCAGAAAAAAATTAATTTCACTTTGTTTTTTAAAAAGAAAACAACCCCAACTAATTCCCAGTTGGTATTTTGGTTGGACACAAACAAGTACCAGTGTAGCCTGTTACATGAAATTCCTTAGGAAGAAATACCACTACAGAGATGCCCTTTTACAACAAATTGGAGGCCTTTAAAATGAAGGCTTAAATTGTGGAACAGAGCACAGCAAATGCACTCCACCCATGGAGTGAATGATGGTACCTACACTGCGAAGCTGCCTGATTTGTTCCCTCTCTTCCCTTAAATGTTCCATTTTCCTCCTCATAGTAAAGCCAGGATCCACTGCACCGTAGTCCTGGCGTGAGGCACGGCTGAAAGCTGTCAAACAGGAGGGAAGTCAGTCAGAATTCAGATTGAAAACATTCAAAAACTAAAGATCTATAACTGACAAAAACTACAAAAACAGGAAAAAATCTGCAGCACTTCTAAGAACAAACATATTTAGGCATCCTGCTAGAAAAGATGCTGCCTATGAAAAATCTTTCAAATAAAATGGAGAGATCATCTGACTTAAGTGTAAGTGGATTATTAGAAAATATGGAGACTGAAGTGATTTCAATATTGAAGTATCAGTATGGGACAATACAACTCCATCTGCACTTCAAGAATCTCAATCTAGCTTTGGAAGTATTTGCATTGTGTTTTACTTTTAATCAAGTATAAAGCCTTTAAGCCATCAAACCTCAAGAACAATTGTGTATTGTTTCTCTGTTCTTTGACAATTACTAAGTATGCACAAAATAAAGAAGTGGAAAAAAAACTTTAAAAAAACCAATCCCCCAAAAATCCCAAACAAATCACTCTGCAACTTGAGGAGCTTCCAATTCTTTGTTTGCCAAAGCAGCTGTCTGCGCTTTCCCAGTACTCTGCAGTGATGAGTAAATGGAGTGAACTGCTGTACTGTGACATCTGCTGTGCTTAGTGCCTCTTGCAGCCTGGGAAATAAATTCACTGTGCTAGAGAACAGCAGCTTACCTGACCTTGGTTTGAGACCAAATGGACCATGAGTGTTACTATCTGTCCTTTCATAATCCTGTTAAAAGAGATGAAGTCAGTTTTCTTCCACTCATTAAAAGAAAGAACTTTTGTTCCCATCAAGATACTGTTTAAATTATTCTTGCCTAAGGATAACTGTAAGTCCTGCTTAACTGTAAGTCTTTCAAAGAGGACAAGATAAAATAAATGGAATGAATGTAACCTTACTACATATACATAAAACTGTCATAATGAGAGGAAAGCAGCACCAGATTATCTAAAATGTATTTCAAAATATTTCAAACTACTGCAAATCATTCTGTGAACAGAGTTTATGCCAGCTGTAAGCAGATGCAAATATTCTCCCAATATTTAGTATCAAAACATTTCTTAAGAAATATCTACTTCCAACTATGAAGACCAAGTTTTTATCATTTCACCATCTGAAAAGGGAATGCACTCAGTACCTTGCTATGTACAAGAGATAACCTTGTTTCATTCCTGTGTATTCTGGGAGATGTTTTAATTCTGCTCTCTCAGGCTCCTCACAGACATGAGGAAGAAATGTCAATAATACTTGCTTTACTCTGAGCTAAGCAGTGCAGTGCTCTCCCAGTGACACTCCATGCACAGGCACCCCTTTGTTGCACCACAAAGGTGACACCCAGGACTGAGAAGGATCAAACTCCTCAAGAAGTGTCACCACCTTTGGGTTCTTGGTGATGTATAAAGTACTAAACCATAAACTGCAAATCCTCTCAGTGACTATGTGCCCTAAGGAGCAGTATTCCCTAAGAAGGCCTATCAAATATGGCAAATTTTGTTTTTGTTTCATTAGTATTTTCATCAGGAAAGATAATGGAGACAAAGCAATGCACATTTCCTCACACCAGTCAAAAAGAACAACTCTAGTGGAGACCAGAGTTGCAAAGGTAAAACAAGTTGCAATATCTGTCTCTAGTTTCTGTCTCTTTTTTTAATTTTTATTATGATGAAATACTTCTAATTGTAATTTCAAAGGAAACAAACAGCTTTGTATCTGCATGAAAACCTGGTGACAGCAATGAACACAAAGAAATGTTTGTTGAACGAAAAGCAAACCCACAAACTTGTACCTCAGACGACACAGGAGACTGTGGGGACACATTAGTATTATCACTGTCTTGCTAAAAGAAATCAAAAAGATGAAATTATAAAAATGAAAATGATGATTTAACAAGAAACATGAAATTATGAAATCCATGAGACATGTAACATTTATCAAGTATGCTACAAACTGGCAGCAACTAAATTTAAAATATGTAAGGCAAGGAACCACTGTTGGCTGTTTATATAAAATACTAGTTTTACATCACCTCTGCTTGATAGGTGAATTAATTTTGCTATTACCAAAGCAAGCAAACATCCTACTGCTCCCCAGCAGGCAATCATGATCATTTTTTTCAAATAAAGGAGTATAATAGTTATTTCTGCTATGGCTTTGGAATGCAAAGTTAATTTGTTCAAAAAAGACAGAATAATAAATTTATTTCTTAGTATTCCAACAATTACTACATCTCACCTCATCATTTTCATTTCCACTTGAACTCTTTCTGGAAGACTTATACTGCAAAACACACACAATTATTACTTTAAAATGAAAGCATGGTTTCCATTTGAACTAAAAGCTTTGCTTTCACTCAGATGTTATTTATTACTAATGAAGCTGCTGAGAAAAAAGGCCATGTTACAGAAACAAAGGAACAAAAAGAAACAAACCAGAAAAGAACATGACATTTCTAGGCGAGACAAGATCTTCATTAGTTTTAGAGATAAGTGCATTTTAAAACTAAACACTTTCATAATGTGAACTCTGCATGTGACAGCTGATCCAAGTGAAAAGATCTTAACAACTGCTAACATGAAGCATTATTTCTTAGAAAAAATTATGCAACCTGTGAAAGCTGCTTTTGTAATATGTTTTAAGTGACTAAGATTGCTTACACTTCAGGAGATTGACCTGACATTGCAGAAAATTAAATTAAAAAAGATTAAGGTTGCCTTTAAAACTTCAAAGCCTGATCACATCCTTTTATGTATTTAAGACAATGCTTTACCCACAGGTCTGGCTGATTTGTTGTGTGTTGCCTTCAGCACTGTCCCACTTCCCTGACTATGCAGAAAGTGGAGATAATGAAGGAGGAATTGAAGGAAAAAATTTACAAAAGTGGTATTTAAAAAAATAAATGTATTTCGTTGTCTACAGATCAAGTGTAGTAAAAATTAGAGAAGCCCCATGCAGATTGAATTAAAGAGACCATCACTACACAAGTCCAAGTTTGTGGGGTGTATGTGGTCAGGCTACTCCTCATGATGTGACACAAATGCAGGCTAAGCAAGAGACAACTGTATTGTCACTGCTTTTTCAAAACAGCACTGGTGTCTATTTTTTCCCCAGTTTGCCATGGCAAACAGGCTCTGTTTCAGTGGCTTATTGCCTTGGTTTTGCAAATGAAACCATGAAAAGTGTTGTTTGTTACTGCTACAGGCTGTTTAATTCACTTAGGAGACCATCTAGAGCTGTGTGTAATGTGATTTCAGGCATCTGCTCCCATCACAGAGCTCACAACTGACTGCTGAGTTATGAGCAGCCACTTCTGTAGTGGTAGCACAGCTCTTTAACCAGGCAAACCACTGAATTCTGCTTTACTGAGAAGATTCTCTCTCTTTCTCCTCCAATGCCACATAAAAAATTAATTTCAGGATGAAAACCTTGGAAAAAGGATACAACTCCATAATCTCTTCAGGAAAAAAAAAAGCTTCTGTAAGCACAACAATATATCTGAGATGGATGGCATGCTCTGTTCTCATAAAGAATTTAATTTCTTTGAAGTTCCCTGGCATTTCACAAATATGTCTGATGGCAAAGACCCAAGAAACTAATTTCATAAGTGACAAATTTAATTCTAATTCAACCTAGCACTGCTCAGAGCTCTCCTATTTCTCTACTTAGCCCAAAACAAACGTTTCCCAGTGCTGCTAGAACTTCCCCTCTCTCTGCACAAAGCAGACACTGGCACCTGCTGACTGAGGGTGCACACTACAGCAGCAAGGGAACACTGAAAATATTCCTTCTGAAATTAAAACTAATGCCATGGGGCCCAAAAGGCATAAATCATTCCTAGAACCATGCTGCAAAAAAAAAAAAAAAGGCAATGTATCTTTTCTTTGCACTAAAAATAAGTACATAAATAGCTAAATAAAAATCCCTCCAAATCTCCAAATAGATGGTGAAGGACCAATGACAAAATTAGTTTTTGGTTTTGGCAGAAAACAATAATTAATTACTTTCTTTTCTTTAAAGGATAAACAAAATCTTCAATCAATTTTTTTCCTCTTGATTTTCCTGCACTCCCAGACTATCCTAGATACATACATATATTATATTAATCAAAAGAGTAAAAAAAAATTATATGTTATATGCAAATTTAAATGCATCACAACCTTTGAGGATCTACCTTTACTTAGTTCTATAGCTTCTTCTATTCTTATTTAAAAAAAACCAAACCAAACCAAAACAAAAAAACCTATCACCCATCCTCACTCCCCTCATTACCTTGAAATACTCTTTTCTAATTTGTTTACTTCTCCTTCTTTCTTCATTCTGCCAGATAACTGGCTGTGTTTCTGGCCAGTGCTGCTCATCCACCAAATCCTTCTGGTTTTCCAGTGGCTGTAATAGTCAGAAATACTTTTATGTAAAATTTAAACATCTCTCTTGTGCATTAGCACAAATTATTATGAACTACAATTGTTAATTGCTTGCCTGCCTCAATCTAGCTTTATGACCTGAAAGTTGAACACTCTTAATGGTGATTCTGGTAGAAACCACTTATATTTTGGATTTTGAAAAAAATATTTCACAGAAGAAAAAGAACCTATGAAATAATTCTTCAGAAAGTAACACTTTTCAGCATTGAGACTAATTTTGTAGGTAGGTAAGGAAACCACCAAAGGCTGCCAGAAACATCAGTTTCAAGTGTGGTTAGCCAGTAGCACATCTAATTTCTCACTGTGAATACTCATCACACAGAGAAAGGATGGCTACAAGAAGACAGTTGGAGTAGTTGTTGGCTATTTCTATCTAAAATATTATACACCCCAACAAGCTGGAAGAGAGATCTCTCTTTCAAAGTATTGTATTATGTAATACACACTGAGGAGACAGCTAAAGTAGATTGATTCTTAAATAATAGGTGCCTACTACATGAAAATTGAAAGTAGACAATCTGAATGGACTATTTCTGAAGGGAACCACATTTCTGTTTCTTCTTACAACACTATGAGGGCATTTAAAGCAATTCTAGATAACTAACAAATTGAAATAGTAAGGTACTCTCTACAGTTTAATGAAATACTTCACACTTCAATCCATCTAGAAACTGCATCTAAAAACCAGACTGAACATTATCGTGAGGCAATACCTTTATATGGAAGGACATACTAAACCCAAGAGAGTAAAATTTATGCCTCATTAGTTTCAAGACCTTAAAGCTGGTACCACATGCTTTTAAAACAAAAGGCCTCCATTACAAACAAGTCAAATTGAGGCATAAGATCTCCAAAGGGTTCATATTTTCCATCACAATTAAGACACCTTCAAGAACTATGTGTATAAGCAACCATACAAATACATTGTTTTCTGCCACAGAGACAAAATCAAGGAAACAACAACAACAAAATCACTCCAATATAAAGCCCCCACATTTACATTTGAATATTTACCTGCCAGCTGTATGGGGACACTGAGGAATTCACTTCATTTGTTGAAACACTAAAAAGTAAGATGAAAGGCATTATGAAGCACACTACTTTTTTGTGTACTTTAAAACAAGTTACTTGAAAATAACAAAAAAGTGAACCCTTAAAAAGTGGCTTCTCCACAGCACTACAATATATTTTGCCATCTGTATAAGATGTTACAATGTGGCCTCAAAGTATGATCATTTAAAATCTGAAATCATATTTCACTCTCCTTTAACATAATTTGACAATGGGTCTTCCACACTACAGCACTTAATTCAGATAAAACTTCTTTTGACTTTTTTAGTTTGTTTTGGTTTTAAGTCTCAGAACTGCCTGTTTCATTAACAAAAAAAGGAAAAGCAAATTTAATTCTTCCTGGATTACCCTCTAATAAAGAAGCCTAACAGAGGTGCACACTTAAACAGGTGACAGCAGCTCACAGAGAAGCTGTGCTAAGCAAGCAAGGCCTGGAAGGTTCCAGGTAGCAGCTGCAGGAGGGGTCACACAAGCACAGCACATGATGCAGGCAGCTCTGCAAACCCCAGGTACCACTGAGAGGGGAGACAGCAAAGGATGTGTCACACTGAAGGAGCTGCACTGGCTCAAGATGCTCCCCTGAGGTGCAGCTGAACTGCACAGAGCCATTCCCACCCCACAGCTACCCAGCACCATCAGCTTTTTTCTCCCCATGTGGGTCTGGACATTTCCCAATTCCCTGAAAACAAGGCTTTGGGTATTTCTGATTGTTGATGATTTCTGGGTTTGTTGTTGTTTGGTTTGTTTTTTGGGGTTTTTATGCTTTATTTTGTGTGTGGGTGTTGTGCATTTTTCTTTATTTAAATTCAAAGAGAAAGCTTAAGTACAGCTCCTGCAGACAGTGCATTTCCTCAGTAACACACCCTCCACAAACAATAAAGGTGTCGTAGGCTGAGCTCCCAGCAATGCTTTTCCAACAGCTCTGAAGAGCACAATAGGATTGCCAAGGAGGAAAACTGGAAAATGTAGATGCCCAAGCACAGTTCCTGTGCCAGCCTGTGTCACACAGGATAAGACATCTGCACAGCACCATCACCTGCAGGAGAAGCTACAACCTCCAACTGGAATAGGAGCTCTGAAATATAAATTAATTGCTGCCATAATCAAACCTACAAATTTGTTCCTTTATGACATCTACTTTCCTAAATGCTCAGAAGAACACTTTATTTTTGATCTGAAAGAAAGAAGCTCAAGAATAGATTATTCCTGTAGCTTCAATTTCATCATGAGCTTTTAAAGCATTATGACAGAAGATGGCAGTAGTAACACAATGAACAAAAATGAAAGCAATAAAAGACTGAAAGCTGTGATATATTTAAGTATATCAATACCATTTTTCAGATTCCATTGGCTGCTTGGGCCTGTTCCTTGTGTTTACTGAAACTGAATGATTAAGAAGCCTAGGAAAAAACAAAGGTATTTGAAACAATTTTCTTAGTATATGTTACTTTTACTGCATCACATTTCCTGTAAATAAAAAAAGTTCTGAACATTAAGTGGCACCTTCCATAAAACTAAAATGTGTGTGTATACACATGAAATCCAAGCCCATTCCTGCTTCCATTTGAATTAAGAGTATAATTTCCAGCCCTTGAAGTATTTCAAGTTCTGTATTTTAAGGAAGCAAAACTTGGTGATAGTTCAAACCAAAATGAAATCTCCTCTTATTTTTCTCCCTAAATAGATACTATTTCAACTGATCTCATACCTGTGTAAAGTGATGCTGCTCTAAACACAAAAGACCCGACTGTTCCTTAAAATTAAAGACAGATAGTCAACCTAAAGCAGACCAGCAAGGATAGAGACAGACTGAGCACAAAAAGTCAGTCAGAAGGGGCAGATGAGAAGGTGGCTGAGAAAGAAACATCACGAATGCAAAGGAAATGAACGTAAAAAGGTGAGGTGGAAATTGAGAAACACGGGCTAAGAACTAAATGAAAATTTTAATGCAGAATTTAATGGAAATTCCATTCTTCTACACGGTAAAGAGCCAAAAAAGCCTGAACTTAGAGAGATTCAGAAAGGTGCTTTCATCTGGAGCAAACACATACCACATGTTTGTGTGTGCACAGAAAAATTATATGAGCTATTATGGATGTTTTAAGTGTTGAAAATAAAATTATCAGTAACACTTAAAACTAAATGTGTTCAAGTAAGCATCACCTTGACTAAAGTGAAAAATTCTGAACTCTTGAAGGTAGCAAAATTACACTTTGACACTGAACTCATGGGCAGAAGTGTGATGGAAGTGTATTTATACAGAATTATATTGAGAACTAGAATGTATTAAGAATCAGAACTCAACCATTCCATGGAAGAAAGTAAAACAGCAGCCCCTTTTTATATTACTTTACATAGTGCAGCACAGCCATTTACTTTAAATGACTGATGATTTTTCAATCAAACTTCCCTGATTACTGTGATAACTTTGAGCTCAGTAATCTCATTTGCAGTATAAACCTCTCATTGTGTGACCCTCGCTTTAATGGGATTATGAGAAGTTAAGCCTGTAAACCTGTAAATGTCTGTAAAAGTTAAAGCCTGTAAAAGTTAAGCCTGTAAATGCCTGCTGCACTCAGTCTGTAGCATCTGCCTCCTCTATTCTGTGTTCAGAAACTAAGTTTTGAGAGGGCATTCCAGGATTAATTTATACTACAGCCTGAAAAAAATGTAACCAAAAATATATTCAGTGCATGGGTTATCAATCCAGAACATAAAGATGCTATTTTAAAGTCATTGTTCTTTACAGAGAACCCCCATATAAACTAGCTTTATCTTCAACTGACAGCAATGAGAAATTCAGTGGGACTTTGTAGCAAACAACAATTACAAGTAAAGAAAAAAATTAGACTCGGTTTGATGCAACACTTGCACCAAAACTGACATTGCGGTGTAAATGCAATGATTATATATAATACAGGCTATTCCTTTTCTATACTTATTATATAAAATGCAAGGAAAAACTATTGAAGCTAATTCTAACATATATACATACACTTTTCAGCTGCTTTTCACCATTTCTGTGCAACATGTATATAATTAATGATTGAGTTCATAATGAACTGTAATTATTTAAACAAAGTATATTCTTATACTTCCTAAAACAAAGCCAGTAATTTTTGAAAGCTCCTGTTTAAAAACTGAAGAATATAGATGGGGAAGTAACAGCAAGTTCAGCAGCTGACATGTTGCAAGCCCAGTTACAGAAATCTCAATTTCCTGCAGAATAATGAACTTGAAAGCTTTTAACAAAAGAAAATAGTGAAGAAAATCAATCTGAATTTGCCAAATTGCAGACAACTGGCAAAATGGGAATAACTGCAGGCACATTAATTACTGTCTTCCAGGAAATACAATGCAAAGCAGAGTATGTAACATGAAAGTAGAAGTAGTCTGAGTTCAGAAGTTACACTCAAGTGTGGTGTTGATGGTCCAAATTTTTAGCAATTGTTGTCATTCATGCCATCACTCATTAAACCCAAATCTTTATTGTATAGGTCAATTATCAGGCCAAATACTGATGCCCTGACTGATTCATGAACTAAGAACTTGCATAGGATAATTGAGCTAGAACTGCAACTAATTTCCTACTTATGATTACAAATCCCACCAATTCTGCTGTTAGAGAGGTAACACAAACTAATCCTCCGAAAGGGTTCTAAAACTCACACAATTTTAAAAATCTAAATTACTCAACACCACACATTTATATATTCTACTTCTACATTATGCAAGCACAGCATCTACTCCAAAGTGCTTGACCAGATGAGAGAGAAAGGCAATGGCAGGAGCAACAAAGATATTGGAAAATATTTTCTCAAGTTTCAGGATTTAAAGAGTGGAATCTCTTCTCAGCCACTTACACTATCAGATTTTATGCAAACATAACAATGATTAACAGACACAAATGAAGTGAAAATGGAAGTGTTATTTTAAGGTTAGCTGTCTTCAAATCTAGACAAGCAAGCACTACCATGAATCTCTAAAGTGTAAAAAGACACTAGAAATCCTGTGCAGTGAGACAAAAATTATTTACTTTCAACTTGTTCCAGAGCAGTTCATTGACTTTATATCTGGCTCTGCTTTGTGACTGAAGCTGTGTCTTCTGGATTTAGACAGTTTTAGGAAATCACTGCTGCCAGGTAAGAACCCAGACTTGATTGTGATGCAAATTCAAACAGGCTCATTTGGAACCAATGAAAATTATTTAATCTAAACTACTCTACTGTCTTTTGAAAAAAGACAAGGAGCATCCAGACTAAGTTACAGAGCTTCAATTTATAAGGCAATCAAGTCTGAAATCACTTCATTCAACACCTAAGTTTGAGTATAGTCTACACCATACTCCAATTTTATGTTACTGATGAGGTTTGTATATTACAAATACTTTCACCATAGGTCAAATGCAAAACAAATTATCTCTGAAAATGATCACTTTAAAACCAAAGTATCAAACAAACAACACAAAAACACCAACCAAACAAAACCCCAAAAAACTGAAAGCACCACATTGCATGAGGTACTGTATCTGAGGCTGTATACTTAAAGAAAAGCTTTTAGGTTTGGACTCAAAGTGCTCTTTGGAGAATTGCCTAATTAAATATTTTTCTCAATTAATATTCAATCCCAAAGAACAAAGAATGTATTACAAACTATTTTTGATAACAAAACCTCTTGGGCTAACTCAGCCAATCCATAACTCTGTGTTTGTACAGGAAATGGCCAAGAGCATTTCTTTTGTCCACACTTTAACTCTTTATACCTTGATGCACGTCCTGCAGCCCTGGTCCTCTGGAAGAGCTTTTCACTGAATGAACTTCTATAGCTCAGTGGCCTTCGTCTGAATTCACAGTTCATGCACACCAAAGCCACAGACGGAAGGAGGAAGCAGGAGAGGTTGATGGGAGAGCACAGGGAAGTCATTAGCATAGCAAGCAAACGGAGAGGAGACTGCATAATATTACAAAAACATACACTGAACAAACAGAAACATGATTAGTGAGGAGTTATTTTGTGATGCCTAATTTCCCTGAGGACTGATCACTGTTTCACAATTTCCCTGTTCACTGATTGACCATATTTTCCACAAATAAGCATAGAAATATCTTGAGTAAATGCTAAATAATATTCTTATTGTCAGGTAAAAAACCCCACAGATTCAAAATCAGGGCTAAATTTTATATTAGAGGAGATTTTGAGTTCATGTACCTGAAGATACATAAGCCAACTTTAAAATATAAATGCTAAACAAAGAAATAAAACTTAAGAACTATTAAGATTGCACATCTGCATCATTCAAGACAAAGCAGAGCAATTAGCAAGACCACTGCATTAAGACACAACAACATATAATGAGTAAAATTCAAGCTGCAGTTACTTCAGAAGAGGAGTGGCTTGGCATTTCAAATGATTAGATAAGCAGGAAACACGTAATCAAACAAGAGCCTCATGCAACATAAAAACCATCAAACACACCCATTCTCTCTTCCTTCATAGGAGGAAATGATGCATTCTTGGCCTTATCTGAAATACTTTAGGTACTGAGAATACACTGGCATTAAGATTTCATTCCTATTTTTCCCTCCGTGTGAACAACAACCAATTCTTGAATGCAGGGCTTGGAGTTGTGAGTAAAACCCATTTTATCTTTCACACATACACAGTACTGTTACTATATTTACCAGTATTATAAAATGATGGTGAATTTTTAAGACCCTGCAATTCATAGTATTGGGATCTCCGTTTCTCTGAGGGCTTCATGTGTATTTCAACCATCTTAAAAGTAAAGCAGCAGAGTCTCATAATTACACAGCAATTTGAAAGAAAAGAACATAGTGTTTAAGTAGGTATGAACTTACATCCATTACTGTGGGATACTGAATGAGTATTATGAACTATTTTAGTTAATGAACTGCTATTAAATACAACTTTCACCTCTCAGAGGAGTTTACTCTAGAAGTACCTTACAGCATTTGCCTGCTTGTTAAAGGAACAGAACAGAAACTGTTCCTACACCAGCCTGGCCATTTCTATGTGACTCCAGCTATTCCTTCCTGTTCTTCATTTTACACAGTTGCTAACTTGTTCTATTACATTCCTTTAATCTGCTTCTTGTTCCATGGCTCCTTTTCAAGAACTGTTCTGTTGAGATGCCCATAATGAAGCAGAGAAAGGCAGGCAGTTGAAATTATTTATTTTTATCCATAGATATTGCAATTTCACACAATAACGTAAAAACAAATTTCCCCTTCAGTCCACAGGATATTGACTGATGGAAGTACAACCTAGATTAACTTGTATCTGAATAAAAATAATCAGTCACAAACAAACTGTAGGGAGGTTGTGTAATTCAGGCAAGAAACACAGGACAGGTATCTTGACAGAGTCTGTCACTTCACTCTTTAGCAGCTGGACAAAACTGTTCTCAAAATAAGGTGTCAAAAGCTTTTGGGTATAAGAGACGTTAAAGAATAAATTACTGCAACAGAAGTTATTTTAACTAATATTGTTCTACCTGTGTTTTTGTTCTTGCTGCAACAACTGAGCTGCTATTTTTCTCAGGTCAGTCACTTCTTTGAGCTCATCATCATCTTCAGCCAGCAGCTGTTCTTTCTGAAGTCTGAAAAATTAAACATCAGTGATTTGCTTGGCTTCAGGGAAGCAAGACACAGAAATGGCTCATTATGGCAGTAACTAAGCAGTGCTTCCTGTAAGCTTATGCTCTGTCCAGGAGGAATACTCTGTTCAGTATGAGAACTCCTTCCTCCATATGCAAGGAGCTTAAAAAAACCCCACTATCACCCCTGCCACTACTAGTAAAACCAACTCAATAAAGATGAAGAAGATTTACCTTTTTTCATCTCCCCAGTCCTCATTTTGTTCTATTTTCTGGGGTTTCTCAGGATGTTTTCCCCGTTCCTTCAACAAAATTGAAAAAAAAAGTCAGAATTGAATTAAGGCAGGAAAAAAAAGAGAAAAATCCAGGCTATTGAACAGTTTTTCTTTTGTCAATCTCTGGTACCTTGACATAGGAGAGCAGGGTGCCAATCTGTGCCTCTCCCTGCTCAGGAAGAGCTCCCTCCTCTGTGTTGGGATCAATGTAGTCAAACGCCTCTTGGTCTAGGGAGGATTTATGAAGAATAGGAAAGACATCACAACAGTTCTCTTGATCAAATGTTATTTCTGAGAGAAGTAAGTACTTATGAAAAATGTCAGCTAAAGATAAAACATAGAAATTGTGCCTTCCTCAGCTAGAAATAATTTTTTCTCCATTCTCTCAAGCCTTTTCTGCTTGTGATTATTACATTGTTTTCTGAACTGATGAAAATACAATATCAACACATGATCCTGTAATTTTGTGCCATTTTCTTATGTTAGATTACCCAAGCAAAGTATCTCTGCTACCTAAAACAACAAATGCACAAGTGGTATTACCTTTCTGTGGATCCAGTTTACTCCCCATTACATGATTGTCATTCCTTAATGTCTGTTCCCTTGTTGATTCTGACACCTGGGAGTGAAGGCTGATTGTATCATCATCAGATGGCTGCAAAGACACTCACATTTAGTGCAGAACTGACATAGAAATGGTATTATTATATGATTTCCTACATTCCCATCATATCATATTAATTAGAATCAACTTTAACCAGAAAAGTTAAACAAATATATAATTTGTGTCTGATACAGCAGTCTAAGGGTTTAAACTCAACTGTACACATACTGAAAGAATATTAACTGCAACTTACTGAGGTATTTCTCAAATGATATAAAATACAAAGGAAAAAGTTCTAAAAAATCAGAAATTACAAATTCAACAGTGAAGAAAATACTCACTTCTGTAGTGGACAACCTTTTATCCCCATTATCACTTCCAATGCCAGAGTCTGGTCCATGGTTTTTACTGGGATAAAAGTCTTCCATGCTACATTAAGAAAAATAACACACAAAATATCCACACAAGAATGAAATAAACAGTAGTTTTACTTTCCATAAGAAAATAAAGATCCTTTTCACAATATGTTCTCTATACTCAAAATTCCCACTACTCACCTGTCTGTGAGGGGCTGGGAGGGGATTCGTTTGCCTAATGATGGCAGATCCAAGGAATCTGGTTTTTTGTCTATTCTGAGGCACGCCTGGATACTGAGGAATTTAAATATATGCACTTTGCCCTTTAAACATATCTGTGGAGAAACACAGGAACAAAAAAAGTCTTAATTACACAGCATGTGTGCTGAGAATACATCCCAAAAAATATCTGCAGCACTGCATTTACAGCCACAACACCCCAAAAGGAGAAACACAAGAAATACAGTTAAAAAAAGAGAAAACTTGATTAGCATAACTTAGAACAGCTTCCTCTAAAATCCTAATAAAAATTTTCTGTACTTGTGTGCTTTAATACTAACCTGTGCTGGTGGAATCTGCATTGGATTGTTATCCAAAACTATAACTTGTAAGTGACGTAACTTTCTGTAACAAATGGGAATTTCTGTAATTTTATTACAAGAAAAATCCAGCTTTACCAAGGGAAGGTCTCCTAATTCTGCATTCAGGGAAAAAAAGCAAACAAAAAAAAAGAATCAGTTATCTTCTTAACACTTTGCCTAATTTGCCCACATCAATGGAAAGAAGATGAGTAGCTCACCATCTGGCAACATATGGAGATTATTTCTTCTTATGTTCAATTCTCTAAGTGACTGCAATTTTCCTATTTGCTGGGGAAGAACTTGAAGTTCATTACAGCTAATATCCTAAGAAAGATATAATTAATAAATCAACTGAACATCTTAAATGAAATTACACAGAGGAATACTGTGATCAAAACTATTGTAAAGCATACTATTAAAAGAAAAGAAATCCAAGAAAAGAAACCCAACTATCTTGGATTTTCCATGGAGATGTACCAAACAGATCTTGCTGGATTTTAAAATGTTGAGTGATTCCAAAAATTCAATTCAAGAAGTTAAATCAATGAATGATGAAATACTGGCTTTGAAATGAATACTGCAGCCTAGGAATCAGGAGTTCCTGGTGCAGTTCCCATATCTGTCAAAAACTTCTTGTGCTATTGCTGGCAACTGACTGGCATTCTGCTCCTCTTCTAAAAATTCTTTTTCCTTAATAAACCTTGAACCAACCCATGAAACTAAAAAAGAGCAGGCAATAGCAACAGCAGGCTCACCAGCTTCTTGGATACAAGCACTAGAGGGTGACAAAGCTGCATCAAGTGAACACAGACTACAGCTATTTCTGACACTAATTTAATATTAATTTATGTAAACCAAAGTGACTGAACAATCACAGAGTCTTTCCAGCCTTCTTATGCTCTAAATAGGTACATCACAGGTACTGGAATCAAACTCTCTGCTATGTCCTTATCACCATCAAGCATGCATTCTGGGTTTCACAACTCGAAAAATAAACCAAAAATATCAATAAAACACAGTAACTGAATTTAAATTTTGTAGTTCTATATTTTATAAATATTAATAATTTATTGTACTGAATATATAATGAATACATGATATACATAGTGCTTATAAATATATATGTAGTGCTTTTAAGTGTACTGACCACAAAGATGCCCAGTTGTACTTACCAACTCCATTAGATCTCTCAACTTTCCAATTTCTTCTGGAATGGAGACCAGCTTGTTATTACTGACAACCAGAACTTTCAGTGGAAGATCAAACAGGTATTTTGGCAATGTTGACAAAAGATTTCGACTTGAAAGCAAGAAAAAGGGACAAGAAAGGCTGAATTATAAGTGAACAATACAGAGAAGTTATTTATGTAGATACGCATTAAGTCTGTTTTTATGCTGCATTTTGGGTAGATATGCCAGGCTTTTTTGGTTGAAGGCATGAAAAGCAAAAATATGCAAGTAAACTTTTTTGAACTGACTATAAAAACATGGCAATGAAGCAGTCATTCATGTCACATAGACTTCCTCTGGTTTTTTCCAGGGTTTTGGGGTTTTTAGGAGCTGCCTGCTTTACTATGAAATGCACAATACACTTCTTCCACCATCTGAAGCCCGGATTAGGATGTGATTTTCTCCTGTAATAAAGCCCCTGAGCTAGTCAGGCAGGATTTTAGCCTGGTCTCCAATGCTACAGCCCACAAGTTCCTGCACTGCAAATCAGCCCTTGGACAGGAGCACAGAAATGAGGACAAAGCACAGTTTGGCAAAGGATCATCAGGAGAACTGACTCCTGAAAGAAGAGTTAGAATACACAGCATTTCTGTGTGAAGAAGTGTATTCAGCACCACAAACACCATCAAAAGAGAAATGGCTTCTGCTGAAGAAAGTTAGGCCTATTTCTCTGAAAACATACTGTGGCTTTGTATCATATTAATCCTCTTTAAAGTTGTGACAGGGCACCTTGGTTATGAATTCATACTGTAAGAACTGGTATTTGCAGATTCTGAGACACAGTAGGTTCTGGGGATTTAAATAGCTCTTAACTGAGAAAACTGTTTTGGATTTGATGCAGCTAATATAGAAACAAGGAGTATTGTAGAAAACAGGGTCAGGAGAGTTTTCTAGATTCCCTCACCTTCCAGAGCTCATATCCATCTTCTGTGCTAGTGAGAAAATCCAACCATATGTTTTCCAAGTTTAAAAAGAGCAGTAGAGCAGTGGATGTAAATAATATGCAAAATGAGCAGGACTTTCTGGCCAGAGTAATTTAGCCTCTTGACAGCAGCAAATTTCTATAGCTGGGTTTCTGAACACTGTCTGTCTACATAGCATCAGAAACAAAGGAAACTCTGCAAACACAATGACCTGATGAAGCAAAATGCCAAATCTGAGGAGATATGTTAAATAAAGACCAAAACCAGCCACCATTACTCACCTAATGTTAAGGTAGGTAAGCATTTGCAGGTTTTTAATAGATTCTGGAATGGATTTGATGCAGTTGTGATACAAATTTAAAGTTTCCAGTGGTGCAAACAGCCAGACATCAGGAGGAATTTCAGTAAATCTGTTCTTTGAAAGATCTAGAAGCAAACAGGAAAAAAAATTTCCTTTTTTAGTCAAGACTTTCCCTTCAGTAAGAGGAGATAAAAGTACCCACTGTTATTCTTGTCATGCTCCTAAAAATTAAGGTGTTGCAAGAAGTGTAAAATAATTCAGTTTTACCAGATGCTACTGCATATAATTAATACACAAAAGAGCCTTAAAATACTGAAAGATTATTGCTCAATATGCAATTACAACAGAAAGTAGAAGAGTGACAGGAATTCAAAAATGCATTTCCTACTACACAGTTATAGTTATAATGACACTGAATATCAACTATGATTGTCCCTCCTCTATCAAGTCTTTGTTCTGTGCAATTCTTGGGTTTCTTCCCCTCCAACTCTAGGCACAACAGTGAATCAAGGCAAAAATTCAAAGTTATTTCTCCTGTTTGACAGCTACATTAGAATCCAATGCCATTGTACAATGTATCTGCAATGCTAAAGCCAAGTTCCCAAAGCATCCTTACACAGTAACTGACATTCTCCAGCTACACATTTGTAACTTAACTAAAAAAGGGATAAAGTTGCATAAACCAATGCCACAGGTGTTTATAGATAAAAGTCAAGATGCAATTTAACCTGGCCTAAAAGCACAAAGAGGAGAGATCTTTGGCCATGGAAACACAATTCTTGAGCCAGAGTTATTCTGACAATGCATGAGTGCATTATGCAAATCTGCATGCAGGAGTTATGACAAAACAGAGCATTACCAAAATGCACAGCACCTCTGACTGTATGAAACCTTGGAAAGAACCAGAAAATACAAATGAAAAGTGACCCAAGAATCCTGGAAATTATCAGCTAAGCTACCAAAACCTGTGCCATCAAAAGTCCACCAAACTACCTTGGAAGGAAGAGATATTTACTTGAGAACAACTGCCTAGTCTGAAAGGAACTCTGGCTGCCAACCCAGGACATTTCAAAAGGATGTGGTTTCTCAGAAATGCTGAACAAACTCTTTTAACAGAGAAGTAATACAGATCCCTTGCTATTTCAGGCTTTAGTTCTCAGTTTTCAACACTCACATGGAATAACTGTTTCTGCTTAGCTCCCATCATATTATCACTGGAAGGAACAGTTCTGCAAAAAGTCTGAAAAGGGTTGGAAAATTGGCTCCAAGTCATTGTCAGGGTCAAAGAGAGCTCAGCAACCCGAAGTTTAACTGGCAAACCAGCTATGAGCAGCATTTAGCAGGGCCAGCACTGGAATCAATATTGCTCAGCTTCTTCCTCACCAGCCTGGCAAACAGGCTGAGGACAGAATGCAGGACACCAGGGTGTGCAGAGGGAATGGCCTCCACACTGTGCTGCAGGTGACCAGCAAACAAAATGGACTGGTACCATGAAACACCATCTTCCTGGGAAGTGATTTTTGGCAGTAGCTTTAACTTTACCTCTAGAAGTCTAGAATATGTGAAATTTTGTGTGCTATCTGGCTGTCATTCCATTATTTCTAAAAAACAGTCTCAAGTTTAAGTATCACAAAGTCTTTCTAAAAATTTGAGTATCTACTGCTGATGCAGAATTCTGCCAACTCTACCTGCAAAAAGCAGAAAAATATGTTCCCAGGTTGAAGGAGTGGCATTCCTAATGAACTGTGAGAAAAATGGAATAAAGTTAACTACAACTGAACATCTCAACAAAACCTAAGAAGCTTATTAAAAAATTAGAAAGTTTTTACAACCAGTGAAGTTCATTTTCTGTTTTCCACTTCATCAGTTTTCAAAATGTTACAGAAAAATGACAGCTTCCACACAAAGGTTTTCTGCAGAACCCTTTTTAAACAAATGCCCTCCTGCTCTAATATTCAGCAGAGTGCGACACCTGCATGCACAGAGATGCCCACAGTTTTATTGCTGGCCCACTTCTACAACCTCCAGCACATGCTGAAGTCTTTAATATTGTGAAAAAAACCCCGAAAACCAGCTTTAAGCCCCTTCCTGATTTGGTTTTATCAGCAGCTGCAAAGGTGATTGAAGGCTGGTACAAAGATCAGCCCACAAAACAAAAGGCAGAATCCCACCCTACTGCCACTGTCCCAGGGGCAGCACTATAGACCTGAACTAGAGGTTCAAGGGCACCACAAAAATTTTGCTGCTGTATTTGCTTCCAGTCACACCTCAACCACACATCTTGGAACGTCCCAGGTCAAAACAGCTTTGCTCTTTCTTCTGCAGAAATAAAATCTAGAGGCAAGGGCAGACAAGAAGTAGAGGATGCACCAAGTGCCTGCTCTGGATGAGCGGAGCAGGGGTGTAACACCCACAGGGAACACAAAGCAGCTGTGGTTTCCAGCCTGGCTGACACAAATCACAGCAGCACAGCCTGGCTGGAGCCCCTCAGTGTGCCCTGGTACAGAACTTATACAGCTGCACATCAAAATACAGACCAAGGGCACTGCACTAATGTATCACTGCAGAAACCACTTCTCTGGAAACAATGCCTTTGAAGGCACTGTGGGGCAAGGATTGCACTTTCTTACTATGAAACCCAGAAATCCTATCAGAATAGGAAATGACACCCACTATCTCTCAAAAATAAAATAAAATAAGGTAAATAAAGAGGTGGGAGATAGCATGACTTCTATTCCAAGCAATTTTTCATTCCATCATCACAAAACAGCATTAGAAGAGCTCCAGGGGTTGGTCCAGATTTTATGAAGATAAAGATTTGAGTATCTATAGTTTTCCACAATATTCTCATATTGAATGCACTTGCAGCTTTTTAAAATCAAGCAAAGCTATTTTTATCCAAACTAAAGGATGATTTCTACTCCAAAAACGTTTTCATAACAAGCAAGAAGTTTATGAGATAGTATTGCCTATTATGGTAAATAAAATGTAGATGTGAAACATGTGCAACTTAGGTACTTTTTGAAGACTAATAATACAACAGATGACCAAATCCAGTCTGAAAAAAGGAAGGAACTTTAGGAACAGAGTGCTCCTCTATAAACAAGCCAGCTTCCATCTCACCTGGAAGCAGGCTGCTAGCATTGAGAATGGCTTTGTAAGGGTTAATAGAGGAGGAGCAAGGGAAGCTGCTAAATGCAGAACCACAGATGATTTAGATTGGCAACTCCTCTAGAGGTGAGATGATGGGAATCCTTTGCTTAACCAGTTTAGACTGGAGAACCTTCAGTGGAGTGTTATGTGAGGACTAACCAGCAGACACTACCCATGGTGCTCATGAATCACAGGGTATTTCAATACCTTATCTCTGCAGGAACAAGGAAAGTGAGAAGTGAACCATCACTAAGGCTACATTTGGAAGAGGAACTAGAAAAATATGAAGAAGTTGGTTGCCCTTTAGTTTTCTTTTGACAGAAAAAGTAAAGTCTTCAGTTACTATAAGATGGTGATTAAAAAACAATATATAGAAAGATCAAAAGGAGAGAATTCTAGGAAATCAGCCTGGAAGGGAAGCTATAAGAAGTGAGAGGTTACCTTCTATCATTTAAGCCATGATCAAGAGGGAAAGCAAAAAGCTCAAGCTGTCAGGTCACAGCAGTGTGCAGCCAGGTATTTAAGTAGTATTGCCAGCACATTTGCCTTGGTTTTGCACTTTTCCCTAAGGATGCAGTACTGCTTCCCATGAGGAACATGCTGGTTTTTTATTTAAACCAGAACAGCTCCTTTTATATTCAGGTATTACATACACTACATGTTGAATTTGAAATACAAGGCTCAGCTAGGAAATTTACACTGAACCTCATCTTGATATTTTATATCATTTTTCATAAAAATATCTTGCTGATCCAGGATATTGGTGTTAGGCTTTTGCTCCAAAACTGTGTTAAGAAACAATATCATAAAATCCCCACATTCCTCACCCCACAAAACCCAGAACTGCTCTCCTAATTCATCACAGATAGATTTTCCCAGCCAGCTTTTCTAGCAATGCTTTAGCTGAAGCCAACCAAAATCTAAGAACAGTTGTAACTGTAAAACAAATCCTACAGAAGACAAGAGATGCTTAAAAACAAGTATTCACACCTGATCCCAAAGATACTCTTCTAGTCAATCTAAACCTGAATCTGAGATTGCCACACAGAATATGGGTAAAACCCATTTGTCTGTCAGATGCAGGATGGTTCTGGAGAAGGAAAAAGTAACCTCAAACACTGCAGAGACACCTGCATGTGGTCTGTGCAGGAAGCACAAGTGTCAATGTCCACAAAGCACTGACTGCAGAAAGCTTTGTTACATAAGCAATGAAATGGGTTTGCTCATGCTCAGTGCCATCCCTGTGCTCAGGCACAGCAGACAGATCTCCAGTGCCATCCCTGTGGTCAGGCACAGCAGACAGATCTCCAGTGCCATCTCTGTGGCCAGGCACAGCAGACAGATCTCCAGTGCCATCCCTGTGCTCAGGCACAGCAGACAGATCTCCAGTGCCATCCCTGTGCCCCGGCACAGCAGACAGATCTCTTCCTGCCTTGGTTACTCTCTCAGCAAACTGGAGAAGGAGCCTCAGGAGAAAGGAACTCCTCAGCTTCCCAAGCTCACCTCAAATGGGATGTCCCTCTAGCACTTCCCTCTAACTCCACACATCTACTTGTAATTTCACAGTTCCAATCTTAATGCATGATGAGTGACAGAAATGTTTTAAAATTTTCCCTTCAAAGAAAAAAACAAACCCGGATAATTAAATAATAAAAACCAGAATTCTTCAGACTTGCTTATGATGCAAAATGAAGTGTTGAACAATTAAAATACATCCAGATGTAGACTGATTTCCCATCCCATACTGATATAAACAGCAACCATTTCAGTTGCAAAGGAGACCAAAAATGTTGAACTTACTGGCAAAAATATTCAACAATTACAGCCCCATAAATCTATGTAACTGTGAATTTCACACAGAAATCAACATTTGCTCTCCAACATCAACAGCAATGCTCAAGGACAACACAGAACCATCTGAGCACCCATCAGCTCATGCACAGTAAGGAAGCTGAGAATGCCAAAACCCTGT